CACTGTCAAAGAAATCTGGGCTTCCATACCACCTCAGCAGTGCCACAAACTGATCCCCTCCATGCCACGCCGAATTGAGGCCGTAATTAAAGCAAAAGGAGCCCCTACCATGTATTGAGTACATGTACAGTAAATGAACATACTTTCCAGAAGGCCAACAATTCACAAAAAAATTTTTTATTGGTTTTATGAAGTATTCTAATTTGTTGAGATAGTTAATTGGTGGGTTTTTGTTAAATGTGAGCCAAAATCATCACAATTAAAAGAACCAAAGACTTAAACTACTTCAGTCTATGTGCATTGAATTTATTTAATACACAAGTTTCACAATTTGAGTTGAATTACTGAAATAAATGAACTTTTCCACGACATTCTAATTTATTGAGATGCACCTGTATATTGTATTTTTGTAATGCAACAATACATTACAATGTTATCAATTTATCAATGTGACACAAATCAGAACTGAAGGTTACCTAAATCTAGCACAATGCTAGCCTTTAGGGCAGGGTTCCCAAAGTAGGGGTCGGGACCCCCCCAGGGGGTCACGAAACCACGTGGAGGGATCACAAGATGATTTCCAGAAATCAAATAATTTTTTTAAAGATTAGAAATAGTATATTTTACCCATAAATAAAAAATTATAAGTTGAATTAAAAATAAAACTCGAACGTGGAGTTTTGTACTCCAGCATGTTGCTCACCCAACTAATTAGGTAAGATTAATGTTGAAATCTAAGTAATGAGTAAATTACTATAAAACAATATTGTTGTTAGACTGTTGTGTTCCTTTGTGTTGTCATTATGCTATAAGTGCATGTGCGCCGTTGTGCAAAACGTTTGTATACTTTAACCACCTCAGAGGAAAGTGGGGGTCCCGAGGTACTGGCAGTGTTATTTTGGGGGTCGTGGGCTGAAAAGTTTGGGAACCCCTGCTTTAGGGCATCAACTCACTACTTTTATTTAGGCTCTAATCTCTCACAAAATGAAAATCTGTTCCTATATAATCCCAGGCTGTGAGAACTACGGATTTGGACCTTGACTACTCTTTTGGACGATCTCACCATACAAACCCTTGTTTATTTTAACTACTGCCATTACTAAATTGAAGTTTAACGTTAATCATTTATTCATTTAAAGCTACTTTCCTTTTTTATTTTACTTCATTTCTCTGTGAAGCACTTTGACACGAGCCCGGTTAATCAATATGACAAAAAAATAGGTTTTATTATAGTAAAACCATGTTTTCTGGCGTATTGACTAACATTTATATAACCACACAAATACAATCTAAACTATGTTTTTTGTAGCAAAACCATGGTCAATTTTAGTAATGGGTGCAATAATCCCCACCCATTCCCCGCGGAACGCGATTTAAACCGTGGCCAAACAAGAAATATACAATTTATTTAATATAAAAAAAAAGAATAATTCCCCTCCCCCTTCAGAACTAACGCAAACTAGACAGAAACAAACTTAATATGAACCGAATCGCTCCATTAGCAATCAGTTAACTTAGGCTAAAGATTTGATAAAGCTTTTCAGTCAGAAACTATTCTTAAACATTAAATTGTATGATTATGCGATCGCTAATTGAAAAACAGAGAAATATTACAGGCCACACGTAGGCCTTAGCCTCAACAATTAACTAGCGCTAATGTTAACTAGCTAGCCAACAACTTTAGATCTAATTAACCTAATTGGTTTAAAATGTGCTTACCTTGAGCTTCACTTTTTCCTCTGCACAACTTTAGCATCTCCTGCAAACAATCTCCTGGAGTCGGTATCTCCTGTAAACAATCTTCTTCTCATCTGTCCGTGTGAAGTGTCCATTTAATAGCATATTTTCATTTTGCTGCTGATATCGTTCCTAATGAGGACGAGGAAGTGGGCGGGGCCAACCATATATGGAGAATGTGTGTGTGGAGAAGCGCGCGCAGTACCGCTCAGAAATGTTTGGGGGCGCAGCTGAGCACTCCCTTCACACTCACACATTCATGGATAAACGTGTGTTATGGGCCAACGCTGAAACTCCACCCAGCACCTTCGCAACAGCTCATCTAGTCATTTATTTGGCTTTCCCTTATGGGGGCCTGACTTTTGGTCCCCACAACGCAAGAGGTCCCCATGACCTGACTGTGTAAACAGACTCATGTCCCCACAATGTGATGAATACCAGAACACACACACACACACAGTCATGCTGCACTCACACATGAAAAAGAAATCCAAATATGGTCATGTCAAGGTTATGCAAGCTCGTCACACATTCACTTTCGTTTTGGAAAGTTTCAAGGCGTTGGCGATTAAATGGCGCACAATCCAGGTACGATGTTAAACACATTTTATTACAAATCAAGCCAATGTTTTGTAAGGCTAAATAATGTAGATTGTTTATTACTGTTTCGCTGTCTAAGACTTTCTTTAAAGCATCCCTTATCTGTGCCTGTGTGTAGTTGTGTGTACTGCGCAGTTAAAATGGATTATCATTATTTTGTAATTATTATTTTAGTGTGCCAACTTTGATTACGTGGAAAGAATACGGTTTTAATCACATGAGCTGAGGCTTTGAGGATAGGCTACTTAAGCTTGTTGCACTTCAGCATTTTTTGATAAGCACGTGTATTTCTTTCCTTCGCTTATTTTCCTCAGATTTTCTCTTCGACTTTAAACCTTGAAACCAGAAATGGCAAACCGAATGGGTAGTATTAGACATGCTTTATTCAAAGACCTATAAGCAATTGTTTTCGTTTAGTTTATTACAAATATTAAATACTGCATTTGTAAGAGCTTTATGGCCTACCAATGCTATTTCACGACCAATTCTTACGTATTTTACGAGGTGACGAATTCGTACGACTTCTTTAACCTCAAATCGATAACTTTCTAAACTACAATCTTCGTAAGACTGTACGGAAATCTGCTGCTGCTTTATTGATGTTTTGTCTTTGTTAGAGTGCGGAAGTAGTTGAAATAATGAACTAATGTTGGGATATAGGCCTAATCAGAGCCGTTGAAAAACGCAGCTGCGACATTGATCTGGCCGTTACGCGGGCTCTCAATAGTTCTATGGTTCTGGGAGTAATATTATTTAATATTTAATATTTTAATATGGAATATTTTGAGGGGATTTCTGGTACAAAAAATATTTGTGCAATAATTATTAACCATTAATAACAATTTAAAACAGGATATTTTCTATTATATTTAATGTTTATACTGCAGTTAGTGTAAAATTAAGGTTAAAGTAGAGAAAACGTTTTTAAATTGCAATGCAAAGAGGCAAATAGAGTGGGGGAACTATGACGTCACTTTGTAGGCGGATTGGCTATTAGCATGACACTGGTTCCCTCAACTAAAAGCCTATAGGATTTTTCCATAGGCTTTTTGATTATCGCAAAAAAAAAAAAAGCTCTGTGTTCAATCATAGTTCATGAAACTTACATCATGAGCCCAACCTCCAGACCGGCAGGAAAACATTTAATATCCCTGAGGG